AAAAAAAAAAAAAAAAGTTTGCATATCCTTTGACCTAGAAATTCTACTACCAGAAATTTATACAAGGGATGTGCAGGGAGACTTAGCAAAGATTGTTCAGGGCAAGCCTGTAATAAGGAAACATTGCAAACAATATAAGGGTTTGCCTAGAGGGGGTTAGCTAAAGGCAGAATGCTATCTAATCCATGACCTTGCAGTCATTCCAATATTACAGAATTCGTAAGGGCATGGAATGATGTTCGTGACATATTGAGTGGAAAAAAAACAAGCCTGAAGTAGTATATTCAGTAAATCTCAATCCCTATTTTTAAGAAAGGAATTTACACATATAAATATATGCGTGGGAAAAAAGGTCACAGTAGATGTACCAAAATATTAATAGTGAATTACTAATATTACCTGATGGTAAAATTAGGAGTAATTTCTATTTTCTTCCTTTTGCTTATATGATTTTTCAAAATTTTCTATAAGTAATTCACATTATTTTAAAGGAAAAAGCTTTAATAACAAGTACTTTTAATTAGGGTTGCCAAATAAAATACACCATGGGACACACTTAATACTAAAAAATCATTGTTTGTCTGAAATTTAAATTTAAGGAGGCATCCTGTATTTTTATTTGCTAAATCTGGCAAGCCTACTTTTCATGCAAAGTAATCAAAGGAAAAGGGGTGCCCGACTGGCTCAGTCAGTAGAGCGTGTGACTCTTGATCTTGGGGTTGTGAATTTGAGCCCTGTGTTGGGTGTAGAGATTACTTAAAAATAAATAAATAAATAAATAAAAGACTTTTTTTTTTAAGTAATCAAAGGAGAGATTGGGGTGCTTGACCCTGATGTGCTGACCCCTTTGAGGACAGGAGAGGAAATGATTGCTCCAAGTCCTTCAAGCCAGGAAATAGGATTTAGCAGAATAAGAAAAGAACAGTTGGAAGCCACACAGTCCTCTGAAATTTGGACTCTGCTACCGGCATCACCATCCCCCGCCCCTCCCCAGCCCCATTCACCCCGTAATCGGTATGTCCTGGGGCAAGTTTCTTGTCTTCCCTGAACCTCAGTAATAATGCCCGTCTTGCAAGGATCAAACGAAAAGTGTGTGACGGCACTTGGTAAATTGCAAAGTGCCAAGCAGCACGTTATAATCATGTTAGTAAACTATACACACAAGGACGTGTTGAACAGGAACAAAACATCTGCCACAGACGACTGCAGAATTGTTCCTTGCAGCAGATTTTTGATGGCTCTCTGAGGTCAAAACAACTCAAGGTTTAGTCACTCGGAGACTGAACCCCTATATTAACATCTATCCAAATTGTTCTTACGATCCTATTTATAGATGCTCTGATCACTGGATATTGTCGGAATACTTTGCCGCAAGTCGGTTGCTAAATTGGTTGGCAAGCAGCGGGCCGCGAGTGGCTCAGAGGAAGCCTGTGTGCTCTCCGAGTTTGGCAGCTCATCACTTCAGGCCCTCACCTTGTCCTCACACACTAGTCTCGGTCACCTTGGAAACTGCCCTATTCTAGATGCAGAGCACAGAACGCGCGGGCTGGCATGGAGTTAATCAGCAGCCGCTTCTCTTCTGGTCCATTACTGAAAAACCATCAGTACCTGTCAAGCCACTTTGGGGAGGGTCCATGGTGGGGTTTCAAGGCTCTTCCCGGGGGAAATTAATGCCAGAGGTTAGGGTTTAGGGGAAAATGGAAAAATAAAATAAGGGAGAAAAAAATTAAGGGAGAAGGAAAGAGGAAAGGAGGGAAGGAAGAAGTAAAAGAAGAAAAGGTCAGAAGGAGGAACATGAGATATTATCCTGTTTTACAGATGAGAAAGCTGAGGCCCAAGCTCACATAACCAGGAAATATCAGAGCTGTATTTCAAATCCAAGGGAAATACAATCCCTGAAGGAGGAAAAAAAAAATCCCTAAGATGATTGAATTTTCCAACGTCCAAAACAGTTCCTGGTGGGAATCAGACACTCCGGAAACAGTGCATCCAAAATGCAACATGTGGCAGGGGACAGAGGAGGGACTCGGTGAGAGGCAGCCCTCTGCGAGCCAGGAAGAGGGCCCTCACCCCAATACTAACCCTGATCTTGGGCTCCCCAGCCTCCAGAACTGTAGGAAATAAATGTCTGCTGTTTAAGCCCACCAGGCTGTGGTGTCTGTTAGAGCAGCCCGAGCTCACAGAGGCTGCACAATTTTCCATCCCCGTCCTCAGTGTTTGAGGAGCGAATGCCAGTGTGGAGTCCCACCAGCCTCAGCCTCAGTCTTAGCTCTGCCACCGACGTGACCCAGTCACCTCCTCTCACATAACCTCTCTGGCTTTCAATGTCCCTACTGGTAAAATGGGGGTGATCAAGTTGATGAGGATTGCATGGATGACATAGGAAAAGCTCCTAGCACACACTACTCTGTACATGTCAGTGGTTTCATGGTTGTTGCCGAGAGAATCATGAAATCTCAGTGTGGGAAGGGGCCCGATAGGCACAATAAATGATTTTACTTCACGGATTATCACAGCAGGATTCTATATCGTGCGTCCTGCCGGAAGGTCCTCACCACCACTCACTGTGGGGCACAATGGGCCAGAAGCACCCACTGGACATCGGATAGCATTTCCCAAGTGTGTTCTTGGAAAATTGGCTTTCACAGGGTATAAATGAGGATTATGAAGAGGGAAAAAGAATTCTGAAGTTCGGTAACTTTAGGAAACACAGAGTCAAAAACACCAAAGCAGGTTTCTCTCCTGCAGGACTTCTCAGAGCATTGAGCAAGATAGTGCATTTTGAAATCGTTAATGAGGAATGGAGATGGCAACATTACCTCAGCTTCCCTGTCCTGGGAGACCTTTCCCAGCTGGGCAAAGTCTGCATCAGGAAATGAGGCATCTGTCTACACAGTGCAGAAACTGTGTACAAAGTGAACCTTAGCCTTGAATTCTAAGTACTCACCCCAACCACAGCATTGCAAAATTTTCTCCTTTGCCACTTTATCCCAAATGGCAATTTAGAAACTGCAGCCACTGTGGCTCTGCAATCCTCCTTAGCGTCCCCAATCATCCCTGCTGCATGACGCCAATCTCCCAAGTGCAAATTCGGGGTGTTAGATAATCTTCCAAGGCTGAGAGATGAGGGTCACCTTGTCAAGACTGAGGAAGTCCACCCTCCCCCTCCCCATCCTGTAGCAGGTCCTGGACAAAAGTGGGCAGAGCTAGGTTTCCCTTCTCAGCCAGGTTTTTCAACTGCTGAGTTCAGTAAATGTCCAGAGCACTCGCGTTCTAGGGTTCTGCCATTGCCCCTTTGTATGTTAATGCACTTTTTAAAAAATCCATAATAAGTTTAGGGGCCATAACTAAGAGATCTAAGGAATGGTCAGGATCTGAGAGAAACCAAAAGACTTAGTAATTTCCTGAGACACGAGGCAAGGGGTTGGAGACAGGGTTCCAGAAGACCTGCCCTCCATCATTCACATGTAATGCAAATGCAAATAAATTACCCCCTTCTGTTGCACCTTCCAGAACGGTGGATAATTCCATCTCAGATGGTGACCAGATAAAATGACTCTCACTTCACATATAAGCTTACCTTGAGTCTTCTATTCTCAGAGGCACTGAGGAAACTGAGGCCTTTTTCCTGAACTCTTTTAACTGAAATGAAAAAGACGGTCCCAGGATGACCCCAAGACAGGAACAATGGCACCAGTGAGTCTTCATTAAGCACGTACCATGTGACAGATGCATGTGGTCCAACAGCCAGAGAGGAGAGCCAACAGCACGCGAATGCATGCAGCTGGGATTAGTCCTAGCCGGCCCCAGGACCACCACCACCAGCTCCTCCGGACCGTCTGCTCAGCGGGAGTTTGGGAAACTGAGCAATGTCTGCTATGTAAGGAATCCAATCCATCCAACCCTTATCAAGCCAGTCAGAAGGCAGCAGTTGCCAGTGAAGCCTTTGGGGAGATTTGCTCAAGTACGAAGCTGGACGTGGGTCTTGCACCAATACGCTTGAGGGGAGGAGGCACTGGAAGGAGCAAGAAGAAAGGCTAGCTGAACTCTGCGGGTGGGCCAAGGTGGACCTCTGCGTGGGAGGCAGGGGGCCGAGCTGCAGAAACTGTGGGGTGGCACGCATCTCAGGCCCTTGCATGCCCCTGAATCCGCAGTTTGGGGCAGCGGCAAGTGTGTTGAGGAAGAGAAGCAGCCCGCCGTGGCGGGGTAAAAGGTCAGCAGCGTGGCTGGACCCCAACAGGCTGGGTGATCTGACCAGCTCATGCCCCTTTTCTGACCTCAGCTTCCTTGTCAGCAAGAAATGAGATGGTTGTTCCGAATCTGTGGATTGGGATTTTTTTTTCTTGTAATAAAATTCATGTAACATAAAATGTGTTGTTACTGACATTTGGTACATTCCCAGTGTTGTGCAACCATCATCACTCTCTAGTTGCAGGGCATCTTCATCACCCCCAAAAAGCCTGTACCCATGAAGCAGTCACTCCCCAGTACCCCTTCTCTGGGGCCCCTGGCAACCATGAATCTTCTTTCCGCCCCTGTGGACTTGCCTGTTCTGGATATTTCATATAAACGGAATCATGCAATTCTATGGCCTTTTGTGACTGACTTCTGTCACCTAGCACAATATTTGCAAGTTTCATCTGTGTTTGAGCATTTAGCAGCACTTCGTTTCTTTTTAAGGCTAAATAATATTCCATTGTAGAGCTATACTACTTTTATCTACCCATCAGTTGATGAACATTTGTATGGTTTCCACCTCTTGGCTACTGTGAATAGTCAAACATTCCAATATTTGTGTACAAGAATCAGTATATCTGTTTTGAAATCTTTGGGGTATGTACCCAGGAGTAGAATTGCTGGGTCACATGGTGTTATGGACCAAATGTTTGTGCCTTCACAAAAGAAGTCCTGAGCCCCACAGTGATGGTATTTGGAGGTGAGGCCTGTGGGAGGTAATTGGGTTTAGTTGGGGTCATGAGAGTGGGGCCCCCCGATGGGATTAGTAACATAAAAAGAGGAAGAAATCAGAGCTCCTTCCCGACCCCCAGTGAGGATACTGTGAGAGGCAGCCATCTGTGAGCCAGAAAGAGGGTCCTCACCAAGAACCTAACCCTGATCTCAGACTCCCATCCTCCAGAACAGTGAAAAATAAATGTCTGTTCTTTAAGCCACCCAGTCTATGGTATTTTGTTGTAGAAGCCCAAGCAGCAGACTAAGACATATGGTATTGTGTGTGTGTGTGTGTGTGTGTGCGTGTGTGTGTGTGTGTTTAAAGATTTTATTTATTTATTTTATTTTAGAGAGAGAGAGCAATCACACAAGCCCGGAGAGGGGCAGAGGGAGAGGGAGAGAATCTCAAGCAGACTTCCTGCTGACCATGGAGCCCAACATGGGGCTCATTCTCATGATCCTGAGATCATGACCTGAGCTAAAACCAAGAGTTGGATGCTTAACCGACTGAGCCACCCAGGCACCCCTATGGTATTGTATGTTTAAGTTATTGAGGAATCCCAAACTCTTTTCCACAGTGGCTGAACCATTTTCCATTCCCGCCATCCATGTTTGAAAGTTCTGTTTTCTCCCCAACCTTACCAACATGGGGACTCTTTTAAGCAGGAAGGGCATTTAGTAATAAAACTGCTTCTTTTTTTTTTTTTAAAGATTTTATTTATTTGTTTGTCAGAGAGAGAGAGAATGCAAAAGCATGGGGAGGGACAGAGGGAGAAGCAGGCTCCCCGATGAGCAGGGAGCCCGATGCGGGACTCGATCCCAGGACCCTGGGATCATGACCCAAGCCGAAGGCAGCCGCGTAACCGACTGAGCCACCCAGGTGTCCCAATAAAACTGCTTCTTATAATGAAATCTTTCTCTGAACCTTACTATAAGATAACAGATAAAAGAGAAACCGTTGGGGTGGAGGTGATAGTACCTCTGAGGAACCCCTAGGACTCTAAGAAACAGTGTGAAAACCATTTGCTCCAGATAGGTTTGTTGGATCCTTCCTGGCTTGGAATCCACAGATCCCATCTTGACTTACTTCCCTGCATCCAGGTCCGTGGAGGTTTGGCCTAGAGAGGACTCTCCCCATCTCCACCCCACACTTCTAGGGAAGGCCCGAGGTTACAGTGCTCTTCCAGTTGTGGTATGGGGCCCATCTGTGCAAAAATCATCTGGATCTTGTTAAAATGAAAATTCTGGGGGGGCGCCTGGGTGGCTCAGTTGGTTGAGC